TGATTTAAAATAAGATCAAATATAATACGCATATTTCGATCATGAACTTGTTTTATAAGTTCATTAACATCCTCCATTGTACCAAATACATCCATGATATCTTGAAAATCAGATATATCATATCCATTATCCTAGATAAAAAAGAATGATAATTTTACATATAGATAAAAGATAAAATATTTACATCGTTTGGACTTTTAAAAATTGGACAAATCCAAATCAGATTAGCTCCAAGATCTTTGATATGATCAAGCCGTTGAATAATGCCTACAAAAACAAAGAAGAAAGACTTCTAGACTTATTATTTTTTTCTTTTGTTGATAAAAATTTACCTTGTATATCACCAATTCCATCTCCATTACCATCTTGAAATGATCTTGGATAAATTTGATATGCTATAGATTCTTTCCACCATTTGCGATGAACGTTTGTTGTAGGATGAAATGATGATTTGATTATTGATTCTGACTTAGTATCCATTGATGGATTTTCAGTAGCTGTAGACATATTATTATAACAGAAGGAAAAATACAATAATCTAGAAGAATTTTGTCGACCAATCGAAGAAAGGAATGGTATGAAAAAAAAGTAACCGTTGGACTGATGTGCGAAACCGCTTCGCTGTTTGTCATACGTTGAAATTCAACCTTTAGTTTTCGATTCTATCCATTCTGCTTGTAATAAAATATAAATTGAAAAAGAAAAGTGCACGTTACGGTCAATAAAAAAGTAAAAGAACTAGAGTTCAAAGAGTAGATAATGTAGCTTCTATAGAAATGTACTCTATCCTTACTAGCATTAGGTGATCATTATGATCCTCTACATAAAAAAGCAGAAGTTCTCATGGTAATATAGCGACATCTAATCATAGAGTAAGAAAAGAAAATGAATCCAAGACGAACAATGTCGTTGTCAGATTCCAATCTAGATTTTTCAGAATTTGACAAAGTCTCATTGTGAGTTTTAGAGATTCGATCCGCTCGAGTAATCGAAATCCGATAGGATTCAATCATTATTATTCATATCTAATAGGATGTGACTGAGATGACTGCACTCGAGAAACTGATATTTAATTCAGTTTTATTTCATACTAAGAATAACTCAAGTGAATGAACGAATAATATTGAGTTCGATTACAAAGTCAATCGTTATACTGTTTTGAAGCAAATTTTATTAAGCTTAGATATATATATATGAAGTTGAAATTTTGAAACGTGATTCAAATGAAAATTTTCTTTCTGTAATAATGTTAAATTATTGATCACTATTATCATCTTTATTCTAAAATTTATATAAAATGTGATTTAAAAGTACAGATTATTTCTATTGATGCATATCTAGTTTTTAGATTATGTTAAAAGCATATGATGTTGAGTACAAATGTATTTTGTTTTCTCCTTTCTCCCTCGATGTATATCAATCATCGTTTAATACAAATAAGAAAGTCGTAGATGTAGGCGGAAATATTAACATACAACTTGATCAATCTTATTCTCTTCGACTTGTTTAGTAATTCAATTTTTTTTTACCTGTCAAATAATGAGTAGGCTATAATCAATTGGACTAAATGTAAATATAATTTCTCGCTCATTTAAATTCATACACAATATTCATTTATATACCAAAAGACAGAGAACTTCATCCTCTATTTGGCTGATCCATTTTCGAATATCCCAGCTTTACTAGAGTGTCAAAACTATCTTGCAGAAGGATTTGTTAAACAATATAGTTTTCTTTTGAATTGCAATTCACTTACAAAGTCCTTATTCGGACAGCAAAAAAACATGCAGAATTCCGTTCTGTACAAAACGGTGTAGATGATAAATCGGAATGCAACATATTTTTCACCAAAATGCATGAAAAAACCGAGCAAGCCTCATAATGAATGCATATATATCGGAAGTCATTGTGAGTATTACAAAGGACAAAAAGATCATATCGAAATCGTACAAAATCAAGTGATCAAGAAATATATGCAGTAATTGAACGAAACATTTCTAATCGAAAAGATTCCGACACAAAAAAATGTTCATCCTGACTAAGACTTTCAATAGAAATCTGAAACCAAAGTACAAATAAATACTTTGTTTCCGTTGACAAAATATCTGTTAGTACTTTGTTCTCAATAATAACGTACGATACCAATAAAAACAAAGACAAAGTTTTTATTATTCACATCTTGTTATGAAAAAAAAAGTTCCCTTTGTAAGTAAAAAAAAGCCAACAAGGAAAAATAACATATACAATTAGTAACAATAATATAGATATATTTAATTCATTAAATTTACGAAATATTTTACTGAATTAATTTTTACTATCAAATATATATTAGAAATTTTTCAGAAAAGAATAAAATGAAAGTAATTATTACACTGTTCTTGTTCATACATGTTACTATATATTCATTACAAGATTATGAAATTGATTCAATTGAGATTCCTAATTTTAATATATTTGAAAAGAACTAATACAGAAAATATGTTTAAGAAACAAGAAAAAGACACATTTTTAATAATAAATATGATTAGATTAAAAGTATCGCAACATAAAAAAAGCAAAAAGTTTTTTCTACTTTATAAATTACCATTTTATTACTTTATTTTTTATTTTTTTTGCTATTCAAGTCAAAAATTACATCTGTTTACAATAAAAATATGCTTTGGAAACGGTCTAGATATTTGGATGCACAAATATGACAGTAACGGCACATATATAGTGTCCTATTACAGGAAAATACAGTTTTCTCATTGCGATACAGTTGTTATTTTGTTAGCATTTATTAATTCTAACATTTTTGTCTATCTATTTATGCAGAACATCATTATATGATTGGTGACAATTTTTAACCATTAGAAAAATACTTTTGCGACCACCGTTTACCTATGAATAGTGTTTGTTTTATTGTAAATTATTCTTTACTAAAAACAAAAAAAAAAAAATTTTTTTTTCTCAAACAAACTTCTGTTTTTTTTTTCTTATCATTATGCGCACCTAATTTCTTATTAGTTCGTACATGTGTATGATTACTCGAGGTCGGTTGAAACCGTACTTTGCAAGGACAAATCTAATCATTCTCTGTTCTATTTAGATATTTGAATAATATCATATATAGAAGATTTACATTTAAACTATCTCCATCTGTTTTTCTATATTTTGAAATCGATTACAACAACGTGCATTGTTGTCTCTTTCTCACTCTCTCTCTCCCTCTCTGCCTTTTCTCTTTTCGTTTTTCCATATTTTTTTTCTCTCTCTCTCTCCCTCTCTCTCTCTTCTTCTATCACGCTGGCGGTATGCATTCATATACTAACATTTTCCCTATGAGTCATTCATTGTTAAACTCTAAACAATACTGGCCTCATCAAGTTCAGACGAAGACGTTCCGGGGTGTCCACCACCCAAACGTCCGCGTCTAAACCCGACTACATTAACAATTACTAAAGATTCAAATTTTTCTTATTGTCAAACAATGCATTCTTCTGATTCTGAAATTTCCCAACAACAACCTTTAATTCCATCCCTTGATGAAAATAATACAAATATTACAACATCTGATACAAATAATAATGTTGAACGACTTAAACAACATTATAATGGTAATATATGTAATAATAACAATAATAATAATGATTCTTTAATATCAATATCAACACAAACAAATCATGATGAATTAAATATACAAATAATTACTAATAGTCAAAAAGAAATCTTAAGACTTATTGGACAACATTTACAAAGTGTTGGTTTAAGGTAGAAAAAAAAAATCAATTTTTATTTTTTCAAATATCACTTTTATTATTTCAATATTTTAGTAAAACAGTTGATAGCCTTATATCTGAAAGTGGTTGTATACTTGAAAATGAACAAGCATCAAATTTTCGTGAATTAATTATGTCAGGCAAATGGACAGAAGTAAAAATTACTTTTAATTCAAATAAATTCTTTTTTAATTTGAAAAAAAATTTTTTTTTTTTCTAGGCACTTATAGCACTTGATAAATTAAACCAATATATTGAAGAACATGATGGCATACAAGTAAAATTGTTTTTTTGTTATAATTGAAATAAATTTTTATGTGTGTGTGTGTGTATTTCTTTTCCATTTAGCAAATGAAATATTTAATTCTTGAACAAAAATATTTTGAATTAATTGAAGATAATCAACCTATGGAAGCACTTTATTGTTTAAGAAATGAAATTCGAACATTAAATATTCGTATTGAACGAACACATCAATTAACTGTGTATGATATTTTGACATAAGACGAAATAATAAAAAAAAAACATGATGTTTTCTTTTTTTATCTATTTAGATTTCTTATGTTTAATTCTATTAAAGATATGTGTAAAGCAGCAAATTGGAGTGGAAAAGGTTTTACATCAAGAGATAAATTAATGGAAAAATTACAAAGTAATTTTATTTAAAAAAAGAAAAATTATTTCATAGTTGAGACAAAGTTTTGCATATGTTTTTGTTTTCGATATATTCTAAAGTCTTAATCGGTTTTTTGTTAAAAATTGCAAACAGGTGTAATCTTTCAATCTTGAAAAATTTTCATTTTTTTTCCAAATGTTTTGCTTACGAATTCCTAAAAAAATGCGCAAACTCCCGGAGTCCATTTTAGCAAAAGTAAAAATATGTAAAAGAATTCGAACATCAATATTTTTTTTTATTTACTAATTTTGAGTTTTATGACAATTGTAATGTTACTAGAAGTCTGTGTATAATAATGAAATAGGAATGATCAAGTTTTTTATCGGGTTGTTGTTCAGCATTATTATTTTTTTCTTGAAACAGAAACGTTATTCAAAAATTTCATCCACTGTCGAATGTAAAAAGAAGTAACACTCAATTCATTTACTCATTGATTTCCACGTCTACATGAGAAATGCAGAAATTTGAAAAAAAAATCTTTTTTTGACAGAAGCGAGAATCGAGAACAATCCCTTCCATAGAAAACTAATATATGATGTTAGAAAACATCGAAAGTGAAAAAGAAAAAGGTAAAATAAAAAACGTGACTGTTTTAAAGTTCTTGTTACCTATTAGAAATATTTTCCTTTAAATTCTTTTTTTGTATATTTTAACAATAGATATTTTACTATTTCTAATATAAAAAAGAAAAGATAAAATCTCTACCATATAACATTGCAACACTATATTAAAAAAAAAAATTAATTAAGAAAATTTACACCAAACGTTAATAAATTGAATTTTTCTTTTATTAGAATATTTTCCACCTGATATAATGTTACCGCCAAAACGACTCGAATCCTTATTATCACAAGCAATTGAATTACAACAAGAACGATGTACATATCATGTTAAACCAGGAAAATTATCTATAGAAGATATATCATTACTTCAAGATCATGCATGTACTAAGTAAGTATTATTAAAAATAAATAATAATATTCAAATAATGATATAAGACAAAAGAATTAACAATTCTTGTAATAAAAATAACACTGATTTAATTCTAAAACTAAGTTTTACACTAAATAATT